CAGCTATGGAACCTAAAACTAAAATATTGTTAGCCCAGAATATGATTTCAGTGGTCTACAGTGAGTTGGGCATAGAATATGTGTTACACTAGACCAGTGTTTTTCAACCTTCTAATGCTGCGGCCTGTTACTACAGTTCCTCATGTTGTGGTGATGCCCAACCATAAAATTCTTTATAATTGTAGTTTTGCTACTGTTATATAAATTGTAATGCAAATATCTATGCTTTCTGATGATCTTAGACAACCACTATGAAAGTGACATTCAACCTCAAAGGGGTCGTGGTCCCCAGGTTGAGAACCACCGTACTAGAGCCAATATCTTCTGGTTGTTAGGCAAGAGGTCAGTTCCAAGAGGGACTGACAGACAGGCACCCAAGATAGAACATAAAGAACAAAGGGTGGGCTAGCCCAAGGCCCTGGAACAGGCTGTAGAAAAATAATGGTGGAAGTTGGCTGTTGGTCAAGATATGAAGGCAGCGACAATGGTTGAGTCCAGATGGGCCAGCTCAGTGGTGAGGGACAACAGTTGATAGTGGTCCATGCTTGCTAAATCAGACTAAAGCAACTTCAAGACTTCCTCTCCAGGGAAGCATTGCAAAAGGGCTTTTGTCCTCTCCCTAAGTGAACTCTTCAGCTTTGGGATACTTCAACCCTATACATAGTCTTGCATCTTAGACTAATTTCTGAGAAAAATCATGTGACTTTCCTAGAAGTGCCACCCTGGGGAAAGTGCAGGGAGGGATAGGAGAGAGAGGGAGGGAGGGAGGGAGGAAGAGAGAGACAGAGAGAGACAGAGAGAGAGAGAGAGAGAGCGCATCCATAGAGACTGTTGCAACTTAGCGTACTCCCTCTTCTGAACAGTGTGTTCTTGTCTCATGCTCACTCTTTATCCCCCCAACATAATATTTTTATTAATTATTTGGGAATTTAGTACAATGCACCCTCATTGAATTTGCTTCCTATTCCTCCCGGGTTCACCCTCCAACCCTTGCACCCTGCCACAAAAAATACAATCAAAACACCAAGTCCAATTTGTGTTGCCCATATACTCATTGGCACATGGTCAAAGTCCCAGTGGCCAGCCCCTTAAAGATAACCGACATGCTCATTCTGACTCAACTCCTCCCCTTTTGAGCTGCCACTGTGTGTTGTCTGAAGTCTTCCCTTCCCAGGGCAAAAGAACCAGGACTGTCACTGGCATCAAAGCCAGGGAAAACTAGAGACATGGATTTTTGAAATAAAGTTTCCCTATGCAGCACAAGGTTGAACTTACCATGTAGCCCAGGTTGTTTTCAAACTTGCAACAATTCCCCGCCCCGTGACTCAGTTTCCAAATGCTGGGATTATAAGCATGTGCCCTCATGCTAAGCTTAAACCACAATATTTTTTTTACTGTAGTAAAATGTACACAACATTAGATGCACCATGTTTACTACCCCAGGTTTGAGCATGGGCACATTGCTTTATGTTCGCCATCAGTGTTCAACTTGGAAAAACGTTTATCTTCTCAAAATGAAACTCTGAACACATCAGAAAGTAGCTGTGCATCTCTTCCTGCTCCTGGTCTCCAGCCACAAACATCCCTCTTGTCTCTAAGTTTGCCTCTTGTGGGTACTTCATAAAAATGGAATTGTACAGTATTTATCCTTTTGGGTAAATACTTTTGGGATGGGTAATTCAAAAACCATCCTCATGTTAACGTGTCACAATCCTTTTAATTTTTAAGGCACTATAATATTTTTGCATGTATACTTCTGGTTTTGTTTACACAATTATCTGTTGATGAACACTCAGTGGCTTCCATCTTTGTGTACACATATGCGTTCTTGTACATATATGAATGAAAGAAAAAAAAAGGTCTCATTGTGTAGACTGTGGCCTGAGACTCACTATGCAGACCTGGCTGTCCTCTAACTCACTGAGATCCACCTGCCTCTGCCTCCTGAGTTCGGGGATTAAAAGTGTGTGCCCTTGCGTTGTCTTTATCAACACAAACTCTGGCTTTCCCCGTCAGCACACTCAGGTACACTTAGTCACAAACTTTAGGCATTCAAAAGTACAACAAAAACCTACTGGGTTAAATGGAGATCAACTCAAGAACAACAGAAAACTGAAAGTGGAAAAGCAAAGAGAACTCAAAAATGTGATCCAAGGCCAAAATGACCATCTTATTACTGACAGAAGATAGAAAATCAACCACAAAACTCCATTTAAAGGAGCAATGAGAGCCCTCAAGAGACGGCTTAGCACTTCAGAGGACCCAGATTAGGTTCCCAGACTCCACATCCAGTGGCTCACCAACACCAGCGAACTCTAGCTCGGGGGATCCAACGACCTCTTCTGGTCTCCAAGGGCACTGCATACGCAAGCACATAAGAGCAAGCACACACACACACACACACACACACACACACACACACACACACACACAAACACACAAAAATAAATCTAAAACAATAATATTTTTAAATATCCTAAATTTGATACATTTTATTTAGTACATGCGGAAGCCTGAAAATGTCCCTTGGAAAGATACCTATATCCCAGTCCATGGAACCTATACATTTACATTTATTTAGTAAAGATGTTTTTGCAGTTAACACTAAACTTGGGATTCTGAAGTGAAGGGGTTATCCTGGGCTGCTTGGGGAAATTCTAAATGTTATCACAGAAGAGGGAGATTGCAGGGCAGAGGGCTGGCTGAACCTGGCAAGGACATGGGTATAAACCAGGAAGTGCCCACAGCCATCTTTACACCTGCAATCACCTGCAGGGTAGGAGAGAGGCAGGCACTCAGAAGCACAGGTGTGAGGAAGAGACCTAGAGTCCTGAGCCCATCTGTCTGTAATGCACATACATTACTAAGACTCCATGTACTGCTTGGGGTCTCTGAAAAGTTGGCTCTGGAAATGGTCCTGCCACGTTTCAGACCCAAGCACATTTGTCTGTCTGTGGATGAGCTGGCCTCTCTAGCTCTGTGACAGAACAGAACAGAAGAACAGACAAAGAGTAAAAACAGCATGTCTTTGGGACCAGCTAAAAGCCAAACCATTTCCAACCAAGGTCACCACTGTTCAGCCCATGATGTAAAATCTCCCACCACGGGAAAGGAAAGCTGGGAGCTCAGCTGTGGAGGAAAAGCTCAATTCAAACTCCAGGTGACTGCTTCAAGTTCCCCACGCGGGTCTGCTGAGTATGTATAACCCCACCCCCAAATTTGATGGTGTCACCTTGCTGTGGTTGTTTGTTCTTTTACTTGGAAATCTCACCAGAAGGAAGACTGCTCTGCAGGGGCTGTCCCTATGTGTGTGGGGGGGGCGGGGGAGGGGGGCACAGCTGACTATCTGGCCTGTCCTCTCCAGCCATTTCTCTGGACTTGTTGAGCACCCTATTCAATCATATTTTGCTCTATCTGTCTGTCAATCTAACATCTATCTCTTGCTATTTGCTCTTTTACTTCGACTTGCTATATATTTCATAAACTCACTCATTCAAAACCAAAAATTCTCTAAACTGTACAAAACCATATTGTAAACAACTTTCTCCCAAGCTCACCTGCATTTACCATATACATTCCTTCCCTCATCTGCTTCCAGATACCCGGGGTCCCTAGATTTGGGGCCTCAAGGATTCATGTGAGTTCCCAAACTCCTGAGATCTGCCACCATCTCTTCCACCTGGAAGCACACAGCATCTTTTCCTGTCTCCTCTCATCTCTCCCCTTGTGAATCCACTCAAGGTCTCACTGTGTAGCCAGGAAGGTCTTGAGCTTGCAACCTCCCTGCCTCTACCTCCAGTGTGCAGTGCTGGAGTGAGGTGAGCTCATGCCTTTTGAAATCATCTTTTACTGTAGTGGACTGAGATTTGAAAAAATAAAACTGGGCACATGTGTCCAATTTTTATTTTCTCTGCTCATGCATTTCCAACTTCTGAGGCTCCACTGACAACTCTATTCCCTTGTCATCTCCTTGCTCATTGACACTTCTCTTTTAACTTGATGTCAGCCTAGTAAGGCCTGGGAAGGGGACAGAAGAAAGCTATGTGTCCACCCATCATCCTACTCAGAGCTCTCCAGTTCTTTGTAGAAAACTTTCCATCCTAGAAGCAGAAATACTAAGTCAGAGAGAACTTACATAATCTCAAGACTTAATGGAGACAGATGACAAGCCCTAGGGAAGACTTCACAAATTTATGTTCAAATCAAGTTAGGAAAGTGCCCAAGCTCGAGACAATGCCCTTCCTTTTAACCTTTGCCAGTCTGTTCTGTGGAAGAGCTCTCATTTTGCACTTATTTCCAATAATTTGAATATATTTGTAGGGCTGGATTTGTGTTTCTTGTCATTCCATGGGCTGCCTGCTGTGAATTTGCCAATGTTTATAATTAAGCTGTTCATTCCCTTATTGATTTTAAGAGCTCCTTATATACAGAATATTAGATCCCACATTCTTGCTGCAAAAACACTTCCATGTTGCTCCCTCTAGCCTTTTACTTTTTATTATAATTTGACAGTATGAATTTATATTTGAATGTTTTGACATTTATTTAGTTATGGGGGTGTGTGCACATGCCATACTGTTTGTGTTGAGATTAGAAGACAACTTTCAAGAGTTGAATCTTTGCTTCTACCATGTGGGTCCTAGAAAGTGAGCTCAAATCACCAGGCTTGACACAAGCACCTTTATGTGTGGAGTCATCCTGCTGGTCCCCAACTACAATTTGTATTAAAAAGAAGCCAACTATGGAAACAGCATTCATTAGAGACCCTGCCCTTCCCTTGCTGATGGAAAATGTCATCTTTACCTTATGCTGAGTCCTTATAAACAATTGTCCTAGTTTGGACTTTCTAAGCCTTAGCATAGTGGTTTAAATGCCTTTTGTTATTGTCACGCTCTGTGGGTTAGCTAGGGCATAGTGGGGCTTGTCTCAGTCCCATATTGCCATGGGTCTTGTGTAGGACAAGATTTGGGGGCTGAAACATTTTATACTGGATCACTTACATAGACACTTAAGACTTCACATGACTGGCTGAGAGGCTCAGGCAGATGCTCCAAGCTTCCTAGGACCCTGTGTGGGAAACCAAGACAAGGGGAGTTATAGAGAACATCTTCAACAATGGTGCTGGCATAATTGGATGCGGACAAGTAGAAGACTACAGATAGATCCAAGCCTATCTCCATGCACAAAATTAAGTCAAAATGGATCAAAGACCTCAACATAAACCCAGCCACACTGAACCTATTAGAAGACAAAGTGGGAAGTACCCGTGAATTAATTGGTACAGGAGACCACTTTCTGAACATTACACCAATAGCACAGACACTGAGATCAACAATTGATAAATGGGCCCTCCTGAAACTGAGAAGCAACGGACACAGTCTACAAGACAAAACGGCAGCCCACAGACTGGGAAAAGATATTCCCCAACCCCACATTTGACAGAGGGCTGATCTCCAAAATATACAAAGAACTCAAGAAGCTAGTCTCCAAAACACCAAACAATCCAATTAAAAAGTGGGATACAGACTAAATAGACAATTCTCAATAGAGGAATCAAAAATGGCTGAAAGACACATAAGAAAGTGTTCAACATCCTTAGCCACCAGGGAAATGCAAATCAAAACAAAACTGAGCTACCTTCTTCCTGTCAGAATGGCCAAAATCTAAAACACCAATGACAGTTTATGCTGGAGAGGATGTGGGAAAAGGGGAACACTTCTCCACTGCTGGTGGGGGAGTGCCAACTTGTACAGCCACTTTGGAACTCAGCATGGTGACACCTCAAGAAAATGGGAATCAGTCTACCACAGATCCAGCCATTCCACTCTTAGGCATATACCCAAAAGAAGCACAATCATACAACAAGGACATCTGTTCAACCATGTTCATAGCAGCACTATTTGTAATAGACAGAAACTGGAAGCAGCCTAGATGTTCCTTAACTGAAGAATGGATAGAGAAAATGTGGTACGTTTACTCAGTGGAGTACTACTCAGCAGAAAAAAACGATGGAATCTTGAAATTTGCAGGAAAATGGATGGAACTAGAAGAAACCATTCTGAGTGAGGTAACCCAATCACAAAAAGACAAACATGATATGTACTCACACATATGTGGATTTTAGACATAGAGTAAAGGATTACCAGCCTGCAATCCACACTACCAGAGAAGCTAGGAAACAAGGAGGACCCTAAGAGAGACATACATGGTCCCCTAGAGAAGGGAAAAGTGTCATGATCCCCTGAGCAAATTGAGAACACGGGAAGGGGGAGGGGAAGGAGCCACAACAATGAGAAGGGAAGAAGAGGAAGGATGCAGACGTCATGAGGGAGCAGAAAGGTTGAGTCCAGGGAAGAATAGAAGAAAGGGTATGTGATAGGTAGGGATTTAGTTGGGGGTGGTAGGGGAGGAAGGGAGGGAGAACGGAACTGGGATTGTCATGTAAAACAATCTTGTTTCTAATTCAAATAAAAAATGACTTAAAAAATTTTAAAAAGGAATTGAAAGTCATTTCTCCTCTCTTCCATTCCCCCTTCACTTTCCTCCTCCTCCTCTTCCCCCTCCCCCCTCCTCCTCCTCCTCCTCCTCCTCCACCTCCTCCTCCACCTCCTCCTCCTTCTTCTTCTGCTCTTGGCTCTCTCACCCACTCTCAGACAC